ACATCTACAATGCTGTATAAATAATAATAAGTAATCACCAGATGGCCTATAACTGCTCCTTTGGACCCATTGGGTCTCTTGAAGCTGTTAGTAAAGTCTTCTGGCGTTTTGCTGGGGAAAACTTGTCATAGATTTATTTGTAAAAAAATTTGAGCTCACAACTGGGTGTTTAGGACTGGAAATTGCTGTCTGTGTTGTAAATATTTAACAGGCTTTGTACAGTGACAAGTAAAAGCGCCGTTACTAACCACACACAGTTACTGTGGAGCTCTTCTTCCCTCCCGGCCATTTACAAAGGAAAAGAAATGCCGATAAATTGTGCATTATGAACAAGGTGCTAAAGATGCTGTTTGAAAAATCTTTCAGAAAAGAAGAAAGAGTACCTCAACATTCTGCTCAAAGGGTTGTAATTGCACAAACTTAATCTTTTTAACCGAATGCCAGAATGCCTTTTTTAAAAATTTGATTTTATAGTACTTTAAGAAAAGCTCCTTCAGCTGGAGTTTGGTCAGAGCCAGATTTTGATCTTAATCAAGTCTGTATAACCAAATGCTAAACTGTTGTAAGAGGATTGCAGTTGTGTTAGTAGACATTGACTAAATCCCAGCCTGTTAGTAATGTCTAAAAATTTCAGACATACTGTATATTATTTTAAAATATATTTATAAAACAAAATAATGGTTTTTTGTCCTCTTTCCATTAATTCTTATGAAAAAGGTTGTTTTTGCTTTTATTTGGAGAAAAACTTTTATTCTGGTTTTCTGTGTTATGTTTTGCCATTACTGAGACCTTTGCTGCAGTACCAATTTGAGAGTACTTGCTTAATACAATATTGCATGTTTTAAAAATTAAAATAACTCATTACTACTAAATTTTGGGGGTTTGTTGTTCTTTCTTTGTTCATAGTTGTCTGAGAAGGTTGAATCTGTTTAACCACAGAGGTATCATTCTTTATAAGATATGGCTATTACTTTTTGAGTTAGGATATATAAAAAGCATTTCTCTTTCAAAATCTAATCTTCAAAAGATGACAAAAATTGAGGGGATGCTGTTAATAGTTTACTGTAAGGTGGTTTTGCTTTTCAATTTTTTTCTCATAAAATTGTGTTGAGGATAGGATTTTAAGAAGGAAAGCATGTTGGGGAAAAGATGGAAGCATTGGAGTTTATCTCTTTTATAACAGTATCTTTGTGTTTCATTTTGAAATTTCTTTGTGCAGTGAAATTCACTACCAAAGATTGTGCTTGGGGAAGAATCTGGACTATTTGCAATGGTCATGTGAAAGTATAGAGGGAATGAAAATGAATTTTGTGAAATTAGCCCATTCCCAGTCTGGCATACCATGTGCTCTGTGTGGCTGCTGATTCTACCAGCAGATTGAAGTGCTGAACCAACTTCTGCTCTAAGAGCTAAAATTACCAGCCATCATTCCAGCTTTTACATCAATGCTGTTCACATCAGTGATGCCAGATTTTGAGCAGATATAGCTTTGTCTTTAAATCCCAGTCAGCTTTGTCTTTAGATCCCTTCCCCTGAGTTGGAAGGAAATAGTTCTTTTTTGCCTTTGAAAGCCTTGTGCTGTGCTGAGCAAGTCAGCAAAATAAATGTGTAGGTTTGCTGTGTTCTTTGAGTCGTTGTAGAAAGCTGAATGCTCTGTTTGCCGTTCAGCAGATTGGCTGTCAGAGTTGTAGCTTTGCTTATCAAAAACATGGTTGCTTGAAGAGCCTACTTGTTATTCTAGAAAGAATCATCCTGTGGCAAAAGGAACACCCTCTTCTTCCCAAGGGTCAGATCTTCTTTTGATACTGGACAATTATCCCTTGATTTTTCTGAAAAATAGCACCATCTATCATAAAGATTGGCACCAGCACAGGTTACATACTTGGTTAGTGACAGATTCAAAACTGATTCCTTAGCTACAGGGAAAGGCATCAGGGTGACACTCGAAGATATACCAGGGGCTTAATGATGGTGATTTTTCTGCTGAGAATCTCAGTGTTCTTCATAAGCCTCTTGGATTCTGTTTCTGTGAGGGAAATAAATTTGTTTTAGTTGCTTACATATCAATCACTGTAAAGTACAATTGTGAGAGCTGTCTTTCTGTCCTTCCTTCATTTCCTTGTTTCTTTCTTTGTCCTTAATTACTGTCCTTGCCAGATTGTGATGTATGGTTTATAAATTTTACAATTTTTACTTTTTGTCTTCTTATTGTGTACAACTTGACTCTTACCCCTTGTACCTAGTCCTAGCATAACTGGGACTCAAACTTACAACCGTGAGCTTGCCAGGCAGGTGCTATGCCACTGAGCTGTATCCCTGGCCAAATATATTTTATTTTTTAGAGCAGTGATGCATTTGCAGAAAAATTGAGTCAAAGTCAATCCACATGTATCTCCTCAGTTCACCTCACACAATTTCACCTATTATTGTATTAATATCTTACATCAGTGTATTAAAATTAGTTAACAACTATTGATATATTATTATTGACTAAAGTCTATAGTTTTCATTAGGGTTCACTCTATGTGTACATCCTGTGGATTTTGGCCACTGTATTATGATATGTATTTGCCATTACAATAGCATGCAGAGTAATTCCACTACTCTAAAAATACCCACCTTGTCCTCCCTCCCTTTCCTTCTCTTTCCTTCTAAACCCTTGGTAATTTTATTATTATTATTATTATTTTTGAAAAGGGTCTTGCTATGAAATTCAGGCTCACCTTGAACTCACTATGTAGCGCAGGCTGACCTCAAACTCATGGCAGTCCTCCTGTTTCAGCCTCCCAACTATTAGCTTTCTATCCTTTAAAAATCGCTATCTATCATCTATTTATTTTGTAGTGTTGGGGATCAAACCAAGGCCTTGTGCTTGCTAAATATACTCTACCACTAAGCTGCACCCTTAACCTACCACTGATTTTTTTTTTTCTTTTTCTTTGTCTTTTTTAAACTGAGTTTTGAATCCAGGGTCTTTGCATTGAGTTTTGCACTGTTACTGCCCTTTTAAACATTTTTTTTTTCTTTTGAGACAAGGTCTTGCTTAGTAAGTTACCCAGGCTGAAATTTGTGAGCCTCCTGAATCAGCCTCCCAAAGAGCTGGAATTAGAGATGTACACCACTACAACCAGCAAAAACTAATTTATTTATTTATTTATTTAAATTTTGAGACAGTGTTTTGCTAAATTGCACAGGCTGAGCTGGAATTTGCAGTCTTCCTACCTCAGCCTTCCAGAGTGCTAAAATTACCAGCATGTGCCACCATACCAGGCTAAAAACTAATTCTTTACCAGATGGAAATGTAGACAAAACTAGAAAACTGGGACCTAGAAATTATGAATTTAGCATCTTCTCAAGTAGGTCCCAAGGAGCATTTTGATATCATTTTTGTGAATTCTAGGCTGGGTGCTACTCATATTCCCTTCCTTCACATCTTAGTTGTTTGTTTGTTTGTTTGTTTTCTCTGCTTTGTAATGCAGGCAGGCATCCAACTCAAAATGATCCTTTTACCTCAGCCTCCCAGATTCTGGGATTACAGACCTGCACCACCATGCCCAGCTTTTTTCATGTTAGTTTTAATTCTGTAAACTTGCAAAGTCAAACAGTGGTATCTGGGTATTTTTGGTTACTGCCATGTAGTGGTGAAATGCCATACTGTTTATGATCAAAGGTATGTTAACAGTACAGAGAGATGTATGATCTGCCCAGGGATTGTTAACTTGCTTCATCACTGATATTTTTGGCATATGATTGCATGAAAAATTAGGTGTTGAATAGTAATATTATTCTCTACTGGGAAGATACCTGAGTGGTAACATACCTGCTTAGCATATGCCAGGCCCTGGGTTTGATTCTTAGCATCATAAAATAAATAAAATTCTTCTCCTTCAGGTGTGAAATTCTCTCTTTTGGCTTCATATCTATATATCTGCTTTTTCGTTTTCCCTTGCAAAGTGATATGTGTAATGCAAAGGACATATTATTTATCATTATTGTTGGATGTGAAAATACATGGTTAAGCAGATACCTGGAAACATGTGAAATAAATTAATAAAAATATGTAAAAATACATTTAAAGCATCAGAATAGATAAGGTCATATGGAGTGTGGTGGTATATGCCTGTAATCAACTCTGGGAGGCTGAGGCAAGAGAACCACAAATTCAAGCTCAGCCTGGGTGACTTAGTTATTTAGTAAGACCCTGCCTCACCTGAGGTATGGTGAGGGATGCATAACTCAGTGCAAAGGTCTGTGTTCAATCACTAGTGTGGAGATACAATGGTGGTCAAGTAGTCTTAGAGTTGGTATTTATAGTAAAGGGATTCTTTTTTGAATGTCTTTGTCTTTCCCCTAGGAAACTCACTTAAAATATACTTTCTTTCTTATTCTGATAATGATTCATTGTGTAACTGTGGACCATGTGAAATTAACTCTGCATTCAGTTGCAGAAAATATCTGACTGGAGACTTGTCTTTTCCACTGTGAATCATGAAGTTAACTTGGCTTCAAAACTGAGAATGAGGGGCTGGGGATTTAGCTCAGCGGCATAAGTGCCTGCCTTGCAAGCGCGTGATCATGAGTTCAATCCCTGGTACTGATTAAAAAAAAAAAAACCTGAGAATGCATAGGTGGACGAAGTCACAACCTACCAAAATGATCACTGTAGTGTCCAAAGATCTCATTTGTTTCTATTTCTGGATGCTTCTGATAGACCAGTTAGTTATATATGTGTGTGTCTGTGTGTGAGTGAGAAGTTCCTGTAAACCTAAGTACAAAGCAAAGGTGATTCAGAGCAGCAATCCATAAAGCAAAACTGCAAGCTTGGCTCATTCGAGGTTATTAACAGATAATAGAAGTTCAATCCGATGATTTAAGATATAAATATATTTATTATTTTATGTATTTTATGCTTTTATCAATGCATTATATATTATTTTTTATTTTTTTAATTTTATGTATTTTTTGAGGCCAGAGGCATTTTGCTATGTACTTTTTTTTAATACTATATAAGAAGAGGTAAAACGGGCCACCTCAGTAGCTTCTGAGACTAATATATGCCTATCACCACAGTTACTTTAGCAAACCTGGTTCCCTTAGCTGCCACATCAGGTAGGCTATGTACTTCTTGAACTCCCTATGCCCTTGAACTCCTTATGTATCCCAGCTGGCCTCAGACTCTCAGTGATCATCCTGGCTCAGCCTCCCAAATGCTGGGATCATGGTCATACACCACCACGCTTACTTTAAAATGCACTTTAATACTGAACCTCACATAATTTCAAATTGTGTCTGATTCCAAACTTACTGACCAAGGTCTGGGCGGTGCTTTCATTGGAAGGTTATTAGAATCAATTGAAAAAGAAGTATTGATAATTTTCAAGTTCTCACTAGTGATATATACATATAACTAGCTATAGAATACCAGAGTGGGCAAATAATGTTATAGACATCTGCTACTTCAGTGTGCATCATTTTGTTTTACACAGAGACAACTTGTATACATTATTTTTTCACTGTGTTATGTTCGTAACTTCAGACATTTGTCATTTGACTTATTTTTAGGTATTAAGATTAAGGAGAGACTAGGTCCTTTAAACTGTATTAGAGAGGGGATTTTAATAATAATTATGCTAAAAATTCCAGAAATTGGGCCAGCAGTATAGCCCAGTGGCACAAGTGCCTGCCTGACAAGCATAATCTCATGAATCTGATCCCCGGTACCAAAATAAAATAAAATAAAATAAAATAAAATACAATTTGAGGGATCTAGATGTCTAAATAAAAGACTGTATTAGATTCAGCACTTTAGCTATTCCTTCTTCAGTCTTTCCTTTTATTTTTCTAGATTTCACATAGATAATTGCAATAGTGTAAAGGAGAGACCAAAGCAACAGCTATACAAGGCTCAGTTACACACATTTGACTGCTGAAAAGAGAGAGGTTATGTACCATACCTGGCAGCTCTCAGCATGCCAATGGTTAAAGATTTGAACATACTATACCTTGTTGACTATTCCGTTAGTCCTCAGGGAAGCATTTTACTCTTCCATAGACAGTAATCAGCTTGTCAGAGTGGAATGGCTTTTTGTTTTTTCCTTTATCTAGGAAAATACAGTGGGCTAAACCTTTCTGGGAAGCAATTGTTTCCTCCACTGCATGAACAGAAGGTTGTGAATGCTGTCTCTAAACAAAAAGGAGGTGGTGATAGAAAAATCAGTGCTAGGGTATAATTGGATTGGAGCTCTGTCAAGGAGATAATTCTTGCTTGAAAGCTGGACTTTCTGCTATGCACAGCTTTTTTTGTCTTAACGTTAAAATAATAAGCAGTAGATACTCTACTTCAGGCTTAATTTTTCAGGCTCTTTTCTGAGCACTCTATGAAAATAAATGTACAATAAACTTTTCATTTCTTTCTTTTTTTTTTCTTTAAGACAGCGTCTCTCTGTGTAGGCCAGGCTGATGCACTGTGTGTCCCAGGCTGGCCTCAAACTTTTGGTGATCCTCCTGCCTCAGCCTCCTGAGTGCTGAGATTGCCCAGCTAAGCTTTTCATGTCTGCACTTTGTTTTTATTAATAAACTTTATTTTTTAGAATAATTTTATTTGTTAATTTTGTTTACTTTTTGTTTTTGGTTTTTGAGACAGGGGCTTACTATATGTAGTTCCAGCTGACTTTGAACACACTATGTAGCCCTTGCTAGCTTCAAACTCTCCACCATCCTCCTGCCTCAACCTCCTGAGTGTTGAGATTACAGGCATGTGCCTCAATGCCCCGCTTTAGAATAATTTTAAATTCATAGCAAAATTAAGTGAAAAGCATAACGTTCTCGTATATTCCTGTCCCCACACACATATCACTTTCCCTCCTATCAACATACTGCACCACAGTGATGTATTTATTAAACTTGCTGAACCTACACTGACACATTGCCACCCAAAGGCTATGCTTAACATCAAAGTTCACTCTTGGTGTTGTGCATTCCATAGGTTTTAGCAGATGACAAGTATCCATTAACTGTAGTATTATATAGAAGAGTTTTACTGCCTTGAAAATCCTCTGTGCTCTGTGTGTCCCTCCCTTCTCTATGGAAACAACTGAGCTCTTTTACTGTCCCTATAGTTTTATCTTTTTCAGAATCTCATGTAGTCAGAGTCATACAGTATGTAACTTTTCCAGATTCTCTCACTTAGCACTACATATTTAAGTTTCCTCCATGTCTTTTTATGACTTAAATAGCACTTTTTTTTTTTATTGCTTTTTGAGACAGGGTCTCTATATAGTTCAAACTGGGTTTGAACTCACTGTGTAGCACAGGCTAGTCTCCAACTCCAAGTAATCCTCCTGTCTCAGCCTCCTGGATGCTGGGATTACAGGTGTGTACCACCACACCCAATTTATTTATTTATTTATTTTCTTTTTCGTTTTCATTGGTACCAGGGATCGAACTCACGACTGCCAACTTGCAAGGCAGGCACTTTATGCCGCTGAGTTAAATCCCCAGCCCCTCACCACACCCAATTTAGATAGCATTTTTGTGGTACTGGCCTTGAGCCCAGGGTTTTTATGCTTACTAGGCAAAGTGCTGTAACACTGAACTCGCCATCCTAGTCTTTATTTATTTATTTTTTTTAAATTTTTAAATTTTGAGACAGAGTTTCTGAGTTGCCCAGACTGGTCTCAAACTTGGAATCCTCTTGTCTTAACCTCTTGAGTAGCTGGGATTATAGATGTGCACCACTTCACTCAATTTGATTAGCTCATTTCTTTTTAGCACTGAATAGTATTCCATTGTCTGGATGTAAGGCAGTTTATTTATTCATCGATTGAAGTACATCTTGATTGCTTCCAAGTTTTGGAAAATATGAGAGCTAAAATCTGGATGCATACTTTTATGTGGCCATAAGTTTTTAATTCATCCAAGTAAATATCAAAGAACATGATTACTGGATCATTTGGTAAAGGTATATTTAGATTTATAAGAAGCTGCTAACCTGTCTTCTAAAGTGGCTGCACCATTTTTGCATCCCCACTCAATGAATGAGAGTCCTGTTGCTCTATGTTTTCATCACCATTTGGTATTGTCAAGTGTTTTGGATTTTGGCTATTCTAAAAGGTATACAGAAGCAAGTATAGTGCTATCTACCTTTAATCCCAGCTCTTGGGAGGCTGAGGCAAGAGAATTACAAGATCAAAGCCAACTTGGACTACATAGGAAAATCGTCTCAAAATACCACAAAAAAAATTAATAGAAAAGTGTGTCTGCTGGTATGTCATTGTTTTTAATGTAATTTGCGTTTCCCTGATGACACATGATATTGAGCTTATTTGGGGGGTGGGTAACTGGGGATTGAACTCACAGCCTCGAAGTCCCTAGCCCTTATAGTTTCTTATCCTTATTTACCATCTATGTAATTTTTTTTTGCAGGTATCTGATCAGATCTTTTGCTCACTTTTAATCAAATTCATTTTCTTATTGTTGAGTTTTAAAAGTTCTTTGTATATTTTGCCTGAGTTCCTTTTTTTTTTTTTTTTTGTTACCGGGGATCAAATTCATAACCTTGCGCTTGCCAGACAGGCACTTATGCTGCTGAGCTAAATCCCCAGCTGCCTAAGGGTTCTTTAGCCAATGTATTTTTTAGTAAATATTTCCCCCATCTATGGCTTATGTTTGCATATTCTTAAACATTATCTTTCATAGAGCATAGTTTTTTTATCGGTACTGGGGATCAAACTCATGACCGCCTGCTTGCAAGGCAGGTGCTGATGCTGCTGAGCTAAATCCCCAGCCCCTAGAACATAGTTTTTTTTTGTTTGTTTGTTTGTTTTTTTAATGTACATCACCTGGAGTCCAAAGAGAGCATAGTTTTTTAATAAAGTCCAGTTTATTATTTCTCTCAATGACTAAAAAGTCATTGCCATACCCAAGGTCATCTAGGTTTTCTCTTATATTATCTCCTAGAATTTCTGTACTTTTCTATTTTACATTTAGATCTGTGAGCACTTCTTTTTCTTTTTTGGTGCTGGTGATTGAACCCAGGGCCTTACACCTCTTAAGCATGTGCTGTGGTACTGAGCTATACTACCAGTTCTGTGATAGATTTTTTTTTTTTCATCACAGCAAAGGAGATCTGTGATGGATTTGAATTAACTACTTTTGTGGTGAATGTAAAGTCTGTATCTGAATTTGTTTTTCAAGAGGTTACTCAAGATGTTCCAGCATTATTTGTTGAAAAGATTAGCTTTGCTCCTTTGCACTGGGAATTGAACTCAGGACTTCCTGGTTGGCAGACAGGCACTAAGCTGAATTCCCAGCCCCTATCTTTGTTCATTTGTTAAAGATTAGGTAGCTATATTTATTTGAATCTATTTTGGGGATCCCTATTTCATTGGCTGTTTGTTCTTTCACAAGTACTATACTGCCTTGATTATTATACCTTTTTTTGGCAAGGGCGGTAATGGGATTGAACTCATGACCTTGTGTTTGCCAGGCTAGCACTTATGCTGCTGAGCTGAATCCCCAGTACCTACTGTATCTTATAAATTTTAAAGTTAGGTAGTATCAATCGTCCAATTTTGTTTTGTTGTTGTTTGTGTTTTGTTTTGTTTTTAGGCAGGGTCTCACTATTTAGTCCAAGCTCTGTCCTCTCTGTAACCCTTTTGCTTCAGCCTCCCAAGTCCTGGAATTACAGGTGCACACCATCATACCTGCCTTCACTTCGTTATCTTTTAAATGAGAGAGTTAGCTACTCCAAGTCTTTTTCCTCTCTATATAAACTTTAATAGTAGTTCATCCATATTTATTAGACAACTTCATGGGATTATGAATGGGATTATATTTATAGATCAGGTTGGAAAGAACTGACATCTTGTCAATATTGAATCCTATACATGGACAGAGATTCTCTCTCCATTTATTTAGTTCTTGGATAGCTTTCATCAGAATTATATAGCTCTCCACATATAGGACTTGTATACATTCTGTTATATTTATACCTTAGTATTTCATTTTTGACAGTGCTGATCAATGGTAAGATGTTTTTAATTTCAAATTCCACTTCATTATTGGTATATAATGGTGTAATGGAAAGCAATTGACTTTTTTCATGAATTAATCTTGTATGCTACAACCTTA